ATCGGAGTTTGGGAAGACATTATGATATAGGTCAGAATATGTTGTCTGGATTTTGCTATTTATTGCCTTTTAACTTATGGACTTTTTTTTTTTGGAGGATTCTTTTCTAATGATACAAGAATACTAACAACTAATTTTTGGAAATTTCCTAGTTCTACTAGGATCTCTATTGGGTAATAATCTAGTTTTTAAATGTGAAATTTTTTTTTAATGCTTCAAAATCCTTTTCTTATAAGAAAATAAGGGCTGATAATATTTAATAATAGATTTCTTTACTTGTTTTGAGAAATTTCCTTGTTCAAACAGGAGACTAAAAGAGGTGACAATAAAAGGAATTAGTGTGTCATTATATTTTTATAAATTGCTAGGATTCTATGCTATATAAGAAAGCTAAAGGCAACATAATATGGGATTTGATTCAACAACTGAAAAAAGAGTTTTTGTAGCGAATTTAGGATATTAAAGGGCAGCTACAACCATCTTAGGTCTTTTAGGATGCTAAATTTGACCATAAAGGATTTAGGCAAGAAAGGCAATTGTTTTGGGCTATTTAAGTTTGTTTTATGAAAAACTATATTTATTATTTAGGTTTTATATTATTTTTATTATTTTGGATTTTTTTTTTAGTTTCAATTTAGTCTTTTACTTTAAATTGGGTTCATGAAAACCCATTAGTTATTGTTTAAGATTTATTAAGTGTTTTGGACTTTAGTTTTTATTGGGCTTTGTTTTGGGCCTAAGGTCTAAGATCCATTAGGGCTATTTAGGGAGAATAACTCTATTGTAAGAACTTATTTTTAGATGGATGATTATAGATATTTTGTTACAACTTTACTTATATGTTGTGAGGTATTCTTATATTTTTTAGTTCTTGAAAAAAGTAAGTTTAACTTATCGAATAATAACTATCTTCATGTCATCTTTCTTATACTTTTTATTTGTGATTTGCTAATCGTTGGAGGGTTCAAATTCTAATAGAGTTGGTACTTTAGTTCAAAGAAATTGTTATCTCATACTCTTTTATCAAATTTGATTTTTGACTTTTCTGGATTGTGTCAATCTTGTTTGCAGATTCTTAGATCAATATCTCCATGCAATTCGCATCATAGCTAAAAATAAAATAAGTTAAAAAAACAATGTTAATCTATATTAAATTTTCAAACTCATGACCTAGAACATTAGAAAAAGAGAGACATATATGAAAAACAATAAAAGTCAACTCCTAACCAATTAAATGCTATATGATTAACTTGGAAAAGAATATTAATTACATAAAAGGATCCAAAACAAAAAAAAATGACAATTAAAAAAATAGGGATAAAAATTAAAATACAAAATAAATTTTATTTTTGATTGAAGGGTGAAATTAAAAAGAAAAATTAATTAAAAAAGACCAAAAAAATAAAGCCCAAATAGGAAAAAAAAAATATAGCAAATTAGAATTGAAGAATGAAATTGAAATAAATAATTCTTCTACAAAATGGATAAGAAAAAAAATTAAAAATTAATATAATAAGAACTGAAATTGAAATGTCAATACCAAAGAGGGTTAAGTTATAATTTTTAAGGAAGGAGAGAGAGAAAAAAATCCAGCAGTGATAAACTGGATCGCTGTCGTCAAGATGTGTTGCACCATTAAGAAAAAGATGTGGTGGTGTATCTAATGAGAAGGTCAAAAAGCATTTTTAAATGTAGGGAGGTGCTACACACGCCACTTAGAAAAAAATTTCTTCAGTGTTACCATTTGTATTTGGTAATATTCTAGTAATGAATTTTTATGTTGACTTTCAATCTTTCTTTTGTAAGGACATGAAGTTCTTTAATTTCCTTTATAAAATAAGATGCTATTTTGCCATCTAAAAGAATTATATTTGTTGGATTGGTGCTAGAATGCAACCTAATCACTTAAAGTTCACAATAAATATTATACTTGTGTATTGGGTAATCAATTGCAAATGAAGACTTTTTCCTTGCTTCCTCTTCAAGAATACATTGATGGAATCTTCTTCATCCTTTGCTAGAATTTGTTTTTTTAATGGGGGCCAGATTACACGATAAGAGTAGCTTTCCCACATCTCTAAGTCTGAATATCTTATCATTTCGAGGGCTTGAACATAAAAGCTTTGCATGGAAATATAAGGTTATAACCACTTAGAGGTAAACCAATCTATAATCAGGGTTTCTATACATCAATTTCTTTGAATAAATAGTTTCTTTTAAAGATAAAAAAATTAGATGTGTTGATAAGATTCAAATGAGAAGAAAGGAATAATAACCCTATTATATGTTTAGATTGTTAGTTTAATATGCTTTGTAACCAATCAGTTGGTTACACGTGACACTATTATATTCATGTAACTATATATTTATTAATAATAAAGGTTTAATTTATCTTCAATATTCATATAATATTAGATTAATAAATCTAATATTTGATTTATGAATCTGAAGCAAAAATCAAGTTTATGGAATAAAAATGTTTTGCAAAGGACATTATGTATATAAACTAGATTCTAAAATAATTTAGCATAGAAGAATCTAAGATTGGATTTTTATCTATTTTGTATGGAAACACCTCCCTCCAAAGATATGTGTTCTATGACACAGGTTGAGAGATATATGATGGAAATAATATCATATACTTGGCTATAAGATCTATTAATGGAGAAGATAAACTAGAAGTTCAAAATTATTTGAATTAATATTTTTTTAATAAAATATTGATAATATAATGAATCAAATAATTTTGAATTTCTGGTTTATCTTCGATAAATATTGAAAATATAGTAAATACCAATCAATATATGTTTTACTTTTAATGGTAGTACTCTAAGTTAAAATAATTTCAAATAAGAGAGCACAACTAATTTTAGAATTGAATAAGATTACACCTCCAAGTTCGAGGAAACAAAGAGGTTGTTTGGATTAAAAAGTACATCAATGAACTAGATTGATTTCTAGTATTGTTGATTCAGTTGCCTTGTATTGTGATAACAATAGAGCCATTGTATAAATATAAGAATTAAGGTCTCATTAATGATCCAAACAAATACTTAAGTAAGTCTATTTGATTTTATAAATCAATGAAATGAAAGATGTAAAGATAGAACAAGTATTCACCAAAGAGAATTTAGAAGATCATCTTACTAAGTCACTACCTATGAATAAATATTAATGCTACATGGAGAAATATGGTATTAGATACATGATTGATTGACTTTAGTGCAGGTGAAAGATTGTTAGTTTAATATCCTATAACCAATAGGTTGGTTACACATGATATAATTATATTCATGTAACTATATATTTATTAATAATAAAGGCTAATTTATCTTTAATATTGATATAATATTATATTATTGAATCGAATATTTGATTTATGAATATAGAGTAAAGATAAAGTTTATGGAAAAAAAATAATTTGCAAAGAAAATTATAAAGTTGTTATAATTATGGAATTTGTATTACATCAAAATATTATTTCTAAAATATTTATGGTCGATACTCTCTTAAATATTATATATTTATTAGAGTCGTTAAGACTGATACATATTATGTTTTTTTTTTAATGAAAAGAACCAGCTATTCTCATAAGCTGAAGTATAAGAGATACCTAAATCTAATATGTATGTTCTTGTTATGAGACATGTACACTCAATTGACCCATATAAGAATTTTATATGAAGAAATGACATGTATCCATAGAAAGGCTCATGTGACAATTGTATAAGCGGTCCTTAGACTTGAAATGAACAGACAATAGATATAACATAAATTATATAATCAAAAAAGAATTCATCACCCTAGGTGAATTAGAGAAAATATTCCACATGTTCTTAGATAATATTGATTGTTAAATCCTTGCATAAGGTGGAATAAGATTTGAAAAGAATTTTAGATCTTATTTAAAAGATCAAATACTATAATGTTGTGAATAAATATAATTTAACATAACTGACATACTTCGTGCTAAAATATTTAAATAGAAATATTATTGAGAAAAAGATAATAATTACACTGAGAAACTAATTACTAAAAGGTTAAGTTAAACCACTTCTAGCTTTTTTAATATTTGGGAGGTCATGACACATTATTAAAATATGTACTTTATCTTCAAATATAAATTAATCAATTATTGAATTGATAATAAATTAAATTATTTAATTTATTTAATTTTATTTATTTACAATTATAATTTATATTTATACCAGTATATTAAGAACCCAATGGATCACATATATTATGAGCTATTAATTATAAATTAAACTTGAATAGTTAATCAAGTATGACTTGATTGAAAATAATTTTAAAAATTAAGCAATTTAGGGATTATAATTTCAGTCATATATTAATCAAGTAGGGAGTTGATACATTAAATTTCTAAATCTATCCTTAAATAATAAATGAATATTATTTAAGGGGCAAATGCATATTTTCCATGTATAAGATTGTTAGATTCACTATAAATATAAAACTATGCATTTTATTTTTTAGATGTTGTTTATTATAGAAAAACCATGCAGTCACATAACAAAAAGCTAATACTCTAGATATAAGAATTTTTTTTTTTAAAATAAAAATTTAAGATATTTTTCATTGGTTGTTTATATGAATTATCATTAAATGCTAGACAATTAAACAACTTGTAATTTACAACAATCTAACTTTTAAAAAATTATTCAAAATAAAAAAATTTATATTTTTAAATAATAAATCATTAAATAACTTAATATATATCTAATAGAGTTCTAGAAACTCCTAAATATTATTTTAAATTTATCATTTCCATACATGTATAAATTACGGCAACCCACTAAATCTAAATACTACCGCATACAGATGTTATCGGAAGGGATGATGTTGAATTGACCGATTAAAAGCTTCACAAAACGAAACTGCTAAGTTGTTTTGGTTCATTATTTTGTTTATTTCCTCTAATCATGCACATAAACATTGATTTGTTAGCTGGGCAAGCTCCTGCTAATTGAGTTTTTGCTTAATGCGATAAATGAAAATCTTTCATTCATAAGAAATATAAAAGAGGAAATGAATTTACATTACTAAGATAGAATTGACCTTTCTCAATCTTGCATAACAAGCTGCTCTTCTTCTTTGCTTCTTCCTCATTTTTTAGCATGATCTGATAAGAAAGATGATAATTATAGTACATTGTCGCTACTGACAAAGATTACCCGAAACATGTCATACTTGATAACAAAAGAAAAGCGTTCAAGATAAGGTAGTATGGTCCTCCTGTAATCGGAATTTAGAATCCATGAATAGCAAAAACGCAGAGATTTCCATACATAAAGACATGCCACTCTAGGCTGCTGGACACTTTTGCAAGTCAAGCATACTCCAGAATTAGCACCTTCCATCTTAAGGAACTGAGACTTGAATAAAGCTAAGTTGGCATAGGAGAGGTCATTGATATCGTCAGCTCTCGGCGATACTATTATGCTCATAGAAATTGTGTCTTCTGTGGAAAGTCTTGCAGCAGAGGAATCATCTCTTGATTCTCCAGCGTACGCATCAAAAAAGCTATGTTCAATCAAGATAGCCATGCTTGATATGTTTGATAACATAGATACCTTGTGAAATGTTGCAGGAAATTATTAGAACCTAGACAAATGATGTGATGCCGTAATCCTAAATGACAGCCAGCTGTGACTCAAGGCACGTGCCCTTGAACAAGATTGAAACCTCTACTAGAAAGAAGGGAAATGATACAATCACAATCACTCATATTACAGGATGATAAATGCATTATAAATGAAATTGATGAAAATATTTCAGGAGTAACTGTTGTGATGTAATGATGCAATCGCATTCTCACCATTTTCCCGAACATTATGTTTAAACAAATCACAACTTAATGGAAGCATTAAAATCTGATTGTGAAGTTGATAGACTAGCATGGGTGTCTCTAAAGAATTTGCGCTGCAATGCTGGTTGCCTTTCAAAAATCTTACAAGGTTTTGGGAGGATTATTGGTTATGACAAAATGAGCCGAGGTTTTCTTGTCTATATGCTTTGCGCCTTCTTATTGGCACCATGTCTGTAGAAGAACTACATACAGTAGTTAATTTATGATTGAATGGAGATGGGTCAATATTATGGAAATAGACTCACTTCATTATCCAGATGTTGAGCCTATATCCTATACCGTGGATACCTTCATAATACAACTCAATCAGGAAGACGATGGTGAGTTAGGGTCTGCACAAGTTGATGTGGAGAGGAATAATACCCATCTGACTCTGTGGACTCAAAAGCGGATGTTTTTTAGAGATTGGGCCTTGGTCCCATGGACTCTCATAACCAAACGGCAGACTCTAATGACGAGTGTGATATGGATTGTCAGCTTACTAATTCTTAAGTAACTCAAACAAGTAGATATCGAAAGAAAATATTTCTTTCTAATACAGTAAGCTTACAGAACATGGCAGACAAAGTAGAGGAGTCCTCAATGGATACTGTAATTTGCATGGGAAACATCAGATGCCTACCGGGACAGATGATGCACATTGTAGATACAAGAATAAAGGGCGATGAGGTCTGCAATATGATAGCAGTTCGAACATTTTTGGAAATTGGTGGTGGCACTACTCTGGAACATTTCACAGAGGATAATAAAAATCAATTGGAAAGGAAGGTTGCGGATTGGAATGCTATACAATAATCATATCTGAGGAGGTAGCTCGTTGGATTCGTATTGCTAATACACATGAATATTTTCTCTTGGAATGTCTGTGGTTTAGGATCACTGTAAAATGTAAGGCTATCTCTAAGGTAACGTCCAACCATGGTGTTGAGGTTTGCTTTATGCTAGAAACAAAAATGTCTACTTGTATAGGTAGTTTGATTTATAAAATGTGGAATGTGAATGAAGTGAAATGGTAGGCACTTGATTCAAAGGGTCGTTCTGGAAGGATGATAGCACTTTGGGACAATTCAAATTTTAATGCTCACACTGTGGAATATGGACTTGGATGGACAACAAATGGCTACAGGTTCTGACTGTACTGTGGTTGGTGTTTATGCTCCTTGCTCAGTTCAACATCGCAAACATCTCTGGAGGGATCTCACCATTCTGAAGTCTGCATTTGATGATGTTCCATGGTTCATGATTGGAGATTTCAATGGGACACTAGCAAGAGGAGAGCGCAACAATGATTGCTTAAATGTTGCAGGATCCACTTCATTCAAAACATTCTTAGAAGACTGATTTACTTGAATTTCTTTTAGCTGGACATCGTTTCACATGTCATATTGATCATGCATTTGCCTCTCCTGTTTGTCATCTATAGTTCAGTGGTTTGATGTTGCAATGTCTGCCTAGAGGACTTTTAGATCATTGTCAATTGCTTCCAAGGTGTCAAAAGCAAGAAACAGGATGGAAACCATTTTGGTTTCTAGTCTGGTGGTTATCTCATCCCCAATTTATGGAAACACTGAACTCGTTGTGGGAAGAAATTAAGCTACCTTGCCAAACACCTCTGTATTTGGAATAATAAGCTTCTTGGCAACCAAGAAAGAAGGCTGCTTACTATACAAACAAGAATTGTAGTTTCAGGGGCAAAAAAAAAAAAAAAAACAAACAAGCAGAAAGTGTTTTGACAACAGAGGATACTTCTGTGTTGGGTAAACTAGTGGGAGAAGTGGGTTTTAAGTAAGCATACAGAGAGTATTTGGCGTCAAAAGTCTAGATAGAACTCGTGCAAACTGGGTGACTATAATACAAACTTCTTTCACATGATTGCAAATCTCAGACGAACATGTAATTATATCTCTCAGCCATTACTTATAATTAATGGTAACTCTCATATCACACCACCTGCTATCAATGAGGCTGTTGTTAGATTCTACTCTACAGCATTTGTCGAAGAGAGCTACCATGGGGCTTTTGGGATATAATAAGAAAATGAATCAAGAAACATCAAAATGGTTGGAGCGTTATGTGACAGTGGAAGAACTTAAAGCATCCTTGTGGGATTGTGATGGTTCCGAAATCTAGGGTCAGACGACTTCAACTTCAAATTCTACAGGAAAGCTTAGTGGCTGATTTATTAGAACTCAATTAAATTTTTTATAAAGTTTAATTGAGTTTATAGGAGGTTTGATTGAATGAAAAATTGAGTTTTAAGTCAATTTAGACTTTTAGTGGAAGAAATTAAAGTTTTAGGGTCAAATTATAATTTTGAGGAGTTGATTTGGACAAATTGGGGGCTCAATTGCATAATTATTGAAGTTTAATAGCTAATTAGAGACTTGATTAAAAAAATCAAAAACCAGGAACCAAATTGAAAAAGATGTATAAATAGAGGAGCTGAAATTAATCAAATAAGAGACTAAATTAAAAAAAATTAGAAGTTTATTGATCAATTAAGGGTTAAATTGCATGAATTTAGAACCAAGGATTGTCTTGTAAATAATGCTAAAATCAAGGGATCCAATTATAATTTACCTTCCAAGGTCCAAGTTGAAAATATATTTTTTTGAATTTAAAAATTGTGTCATTTCCTTGACAACTATTCATTGTCTTTTTCATTCGTGACGGTTTTGGTAGTAAATGCAATGAAGATGTTAGTAGTGGAGCTGCTTCAATCATAGGGCATGTCTCATGTCACCATAATGCATGCCAATTGTTACTTTATTATTGTTGGAATCGTTTGCATCCTCTGGCTATAAAAGCTAGAGGAAGGATTGAGTAGAAGAGGAAGAAAAAAAACACAGAGAGAAAGAAAAGAAAGAAAAAGAAAGAAAGAACATAAGAACAGAAGAGAACAGAAAAAGGAAAGAAAATTTGAGAGAGAAAAAGAGGGAGGAGAGTGAATGAAGCACAAGAGAAGGTAGGAGGAAGAAGAAGAAAATACAGAGAAGCCAAAGCAGTGTCCTCCACTAACCACCGCTAGTCTTCCTATTCGCCACCACCAGTTGCACCACTAGCATCAACAGTACCTCCACGAGGCCATTGTAGAGAAACAGGAACACCGTTGATAAGGGGAACAAAAAAATAGATTAAGAAGACAACATAGCAAAAACAGAGGAGAGAAGAAGGAAAAATGTCATCTACCACTATAGTCAACTGTCGAGACACTAATGCCATCGTGAACCATTAGCACCATGAAAGACAGCACGTCCATTTCAGGTAATTCTCTTCCCCTTTGTCTTTGTTTCCCCACTTCATCTCCTTGTATGCAAAACATGTATTGTGCACGTTTTTGCAAGCAAGAAAATATAATTACTCTATTACCGTGCATGATTATAGTAATCGAGTAATTGTATTTGGGCTAGATCATCAACCTAGTCCATACAACATTTTATTGGGCTGAGATCAGCCCAATTTCTTTTTTGGTTGGGACAAGCCTGTTGGGTCCATCCTCGCCACATGAGTCGGGCTGGGCCTAGCCTAAAAAAAAGAGGAAATTTGCTTTTAAAATATTTATCTTTCCGTATTTTTTTCTATTGAATTTGACTTAATATTGGTTTGTATTTTTATACCGTAAAGATATAAATACAATATTAAAGTACTCAGTTTTTATTGAAATATTGAATTTTAAAAAAAAAATATTTTTTTTTTCAAGTGTATGGCAAAGTATCTCAAAAATCATATCATATTTTTATACAAAATAAATTTCAAAAAACCTGTACTAGCATTTCAGCTTTAATAACTAATTTATTAAAGTCACGAGAACTAGATCAATATTTCAAAAAATTCAAAAAAAAAGTATTTTATTTTCTTTTAGTATCTGGGGTTACGACCTTATACGTAAGATATATTTCGGATATTAAATTCTTTCATTCAGGTTAGAATGGTTAGGTTTTACCCGATAAGATAAAGATCTCCTTGCCGAGAAAAACTTTTCTTAAACCATAAAGGGATTAACAACTAGAAAACACAAAATACCTTAGATTTTATCAGACAATTAAACAATATAACTTATCTTAAGTAGGGAATATTTGGGGTATTAATACCTTTTCTTTACACAACCAGTCCCCGTACCCGATCTCTGAGACCAGTTAAGGTTTGTAATGATCAAAATATTAGATGGCGACTCTAATTCTATTTTTTTATTAATAAAAAACAAAAATTCTTTATCTCTCTATATTTACTAAATAGATAAAAAATAACATATAATAAATATTTAAAAGTTGATTTATCATCGCAATACTGCACAGGAGCAACAATATCTATAGTTCAACTATGGCAAATGCTGCATATTGTAGACAAGACTTTTTGCTTTTTGTATATCTTGGTATTATTAGGTGTTTATCCTAATCGTCTCTCTACTTGGAAGCCTGTTATAACAGAATTTCGCAACAGACTTTCATCTTGGAAAGGCAAGATACTTAGCATTGCTGGGAGAATATGAATGATTAAAATTGTCCTTAATTCCTTGTCTTTTTATTTATGCCAGTGTTCTTGATGCCAAAAGGAGTTTATAGAATACTAACTTCTATTTAAAGAAGATTCCTATGGGCATGTGTTGCTAAACAAAGGAAAATATGCAAGGTGCAATGGAAGGTAGTTGTCAGAGAAAAGGCTAGAGGAGGTCTGGGAATAGGCTCATTTTTGGAAACAAATAAAGCTATGTTATTCAAGTGGTTACAGAGGATAAGCTCCTCACCTATAGCTTGATGGCAAGATGTTATCTGCAAAAAATAGAGACATATCTTTGAAAATGGTCTTCCTCTTATTAGCAAGTGGTTGATCATGTGTTCTGGCAACAAATCGTTGCTCTTATACACCTGGTATGGTTACTTTTGAAGCTCTGCGAGGTTGGTCTAGCTATATGGTGAGAAATTGACTGAATATTTCTTTTTAGAGTGATGGATTGTGAGGTAAGACTCCCATGTAATTCAAGTTTCCAAGACTACAGAAGGTTTCAAGTGCGCCAAAAACAACAATCTCAGAAATGGGATCATGGGTAAATGGCAATTGGGTGTGGAACTTACACTAGAGGAGGACTTTTAAGAGTTTTTGAAATTGAGCAGGGAATGTCTTTAAATCTGTTTCTTCAAAAGATGAAGCTAGATCAAACAAAATCATATTTGAAGGTATGGAATATTTGCAGGAATGAGAAGTTTATTAGAGACCTCAAATCATTTGTTGGAGCAGGGAATGTCTTTAAATATGTTTCTTATGTAGCAGCCATCTTTTTATCCTTGGAACAATCCTTTTGTCCATTTTGTACAGCTTTATTAGAGACCTCAAATCATTTGTTGATACAATTCCAATTTGCATGGAAACTATACACAAAATTATTTCATGGTAGGGTTTTTTGGTGTATTCCAAACACAATAGATGAGCTGCTGGTTCAATGGCTAATGATGGTAAAATGGAAGGTTTTAGAAGAAAACATGGAAACTACTCTCTTATGGTATTACTTGGAGTATTTGGTTAACCAGAAATAATTTGATTTTTAATGATATTCAACTAGATCTTGAATTTTACTTTTCTTTAACTCTCCATCGATCGGTTGTCTGCTTGGTTACAGAATTGTGAAGAACATTTCTCTTACACAGGTAATGACTTGAAGAGGGACAAATGCCTAAAGACAATATTGACAGTTCGTATGGTGTTTTGATATCGCGGTGGAGGCCTTTTCTTTTGTTATCTCTCTTTTTTTATTTTTTTTCTCTGTCTCTTTTACGTAAAAACTATATCCTTTCATGATAGCTATCCTCTGAATGACTAGCATGATTTTAATAATACCTTCAATTATATATATATATAAACAATCCAACGTAATGTTATTAAAAAAAAAAAGGAAAGGAAAAGACAAAACAAAAAATCCAACTTACTAGCTCTCCAGTTAACTCCTCTTTGTTTTCGCAAGATTTCTTCATCCATGCTCCATACCATACGATCTGAAGTGCAAAATAAGGTATTTTACACATTAAAGCGCTTGCAAACTTTCTAATTAAAATTCAAAAAGCAATAACACTTGTGAAAATGTTAAAAAGACAAAATTAGATTGACACAAGAAATTTATGCAAGATCATTTCAACTTTCCAAGTGATGGCATTTAACCAGACTGATTGTGCATCTCATCCAAGTGTTACCATGGAGAATATATCGATAAGAAAAAGAAGGAAAAAAGAAACTGCTGAAGTTATAACTTGTAACATTATTTCCAACTGGGAAAAGGCTATTGCACAACACCAGGGAGCAGCATTCAAAAGGCCACCTAATTGATGAGTCCTTTCTTTCTTTCTTTCTTTTTTCATATGGAGATGTAATTTAATTGGTCTAGTAACACAACGTAATTTCTTACCATATTTCCATGGATGCTTTTGAATATGGAACTTTGAACACAGCCAAGACTTTCAGTGCAAGAAGAGAAATGTTTTAGCGTCTCAACAAGCTCATCAACCAACGCAACTATTGGCCTGAAGATAAAAAAGCTTATCTCCAAATTTCTGTTGTTGAAAGGCACAAAACATGCCATCCCTTCCTTCTACAGAGTTTCTTTCTTTCTTTCTTTCTTTCTTTATTGTTCCTGTGTCTGGAATGAATCAAAAGGGGGCAATGTAAGCACTTGTTTTCTTGAAAGAGGGCAGTATTAGCTGAAGGGCGCTTGGATAAGAAAGCGAGCCATGTTGTGTGTGGATCAGTAGACAGACGATGCTGATTTTAGTAACAATAAAAATAAAGAAGAACTCAAATGGTCATGGCAATTGCCCTGGTAGAGAAAATTTACATGGGAGAAGAAAACTAAGAAGAAATTGAGGGACTTTGGAAATAGACATCCCATCAGTCTTGCCTTTTGACCGTTTCCAGATGTTAAAAGATCAATTAAGACAGAAGAAATTTCAAACTTTTTAATGCGGTAAGAAATTGGACAAGGCTCCATGGATTTCTGAGAAATATCAGACAAGATGCTAACCATTTTATTATCGAGCGTCGAACCGACCACATTCACTATCTATGAGTCTTCTCTTCTTGTGGCAAACAACAAAATTTTGACCCGGAAACTTCGAAGAAACTGCGAGGTAAATGGTCAAGCACTCAAGGTAGAATTGGACTTCCATTTGAGGATTTGAATATTTGACTTGGATCCTAGGACATGTGCAGTGAACCAAGACCATTGGAGATGACAGCACCAAAATCATGAAATCAAGGAATTGAAATTCCAGAATTTCTGATGAGGCTATCAAGCAAAAGCTCCATAAAAGACGCTAGCGGTATGGCAATCAATATATCAAAATAAGGTGTTCACATCTGACATCGGAAGTGAATTTCACATTAATAAGATGTGTATATTCATTAATGGAGTATTACTCCTACTTTTCAAGAAAAACAAAAAAATGAACATGAAAATTAAAGTTGTGTAAGTTTGTGGACGAAGTCTTGGTTTGTTGGAGATATATGGTAGTACTGGCAAGGCAGAAAAGCTATACACTTGATGGAAACGAAGCAATTTTAATTTGAATGCTTTTTCACCCTGCTCCGGAATTAAATTTAGTTTTCTTTTTACTTGTTCTAATTTTTTGTGCAAACATTTTACTTATTTCAATGCAGTTACACTTATATTATTCTATTTTTAATTTTTTATACATGTTTTATGTTTTACAATAGCTTATGTATTCTATTTTATGTTTAATAGTGCTATAAAATTACAGAATATAAAAAGAAAACAAAATAAAACTTTTTAAGCATAGTCTTGAGTAAAGGACTAGAAGAAGCATATTGAAAAAAGTCATTAGAACTAAGAAGTACAAATTCTAATTACATTAGGAATTCAACTTGAAAAAAAAATCCTAGTGAGATTCAAATCGTTCAAAGCAAATCTACTAGATTAGACCTCTATTTACTCATTAGATTATATTTGGAATAAAATTATAATTTAAATTAGGATAAAAATCATGCATTTTAAGTTTTTCATCTATATATATATATATATAATAGGTTTAGTAACTTGTCTAGAAAATAAATAATAACATGTTTGAAGTTAAGTCTGAAATCCATTAACAAACAAGCACAAGTCCAATTAATCTTTCCATGTTAGGATGATGACATGGTAGATCATTAATAATGTGGAAAGGGTCCCACAAGATCAAAAAACCTATCTAGAAGGTCAAATCCAATACACGAGTCATTATAGTCAAATTAATCTAATTAAAAATTAATTATTAACTAATAAACTTCTCTATTTCCTTAACTCCATATATAACAAATCCTAACCTCTAAAAAAAAAGAGAGATCAAGTTTAGAACATAGAGGAAGGGATTTTTTTTATCTTTTATCTTTTTTAAATTTGTGATAAGCTTAGTTTTCAATTTTAAGAGATTAGTACTCTTGAATTTAAATTATTATGAGGATTTGTGCTTAAAATTATTATATATCTAATTGTGATACATAAATATCTTATGTTTATCTATGATTATACTTGATTTAAACTTAAATATTTTATCTTGAGGGTGTAATTATGTTCTAATACTTATATCTATGTGGCATAATATCTTTACTTTCTATACTATAAATCATTAATTTTAAGAGTTTAAATTTGCACCAATTTGACACTCATCAAATTTTTGACATTGTTGTTAGGTATGCTAATCCTTGTTTACTTGAATCAAGCTTGTATTTTTATTTAGTTTAACTTACTTGGTACTTTAGCATATAGAATAATATTTTATTAGTCTATGCAATGCACCTTCTATTTTTCTAAAATGTATAATGAGTATATTTTCATATTATGTACAAAGAACCATATAAATTTATATGAATGATTTTACTGTTTATGGTTTTTTTTTTATGCATGTCTTCAAAACTTAAATCTTATTTTAAAGAAATGCATAGAAACTAACTTTGTTTTGAATTATAAAAAAGTGTCAATTTATGATTGAATAATTTATGGCTGTAGGACATATAGTTTTTGCTAAAGGTTTGAAAGTTGGTAAAGTTAAGATAGATATTATCTTATCTTTGCTTTACCCTACAAGTGTACGGGAAGTTTATTCTTTTCTTGAACATGTAGGTTTCTATCCGAGATTTATCAAAAATTTTTTTAAAATAGCATTGCCCTTTTGCATATTTGTGGCAAAGGATGCAAATTTCATGTTTGATTAAAAAATTCTTTTTTTTCGTTCACATTTAAAGCTCTTTCCTAGTAAGCTATGCTCTTGTTGGATTGGATATTTTGTTGTTAATAATATCTTTAATTATGGTGCTATAGAAATTTAAAGTTAATAAACAAATAAAGTGATCAAAGTGAATGGGCAATGTTGGAGACCTTTTATATAAAGGTGTTAAGGAATGTAATGTGGCAGAGATTAATTAGACTAAACCTTAAACATGGACATGGAGTCTAGCTAAAGACAATAAACAAAGACATTTATTGGGAGGTAGCCCATTATACAAAAACAACAACAAAAATTCAGATTTGTTTCACTTTGCTTTTCTCTTTTATTTTTGTCTTCTTTTTATTGTTGGTGTTTATGCATGATTTACCTAGTTTAGTTGAATTTGTCCATGTTTAGGTGTTTTCCTTTGATGTGAGATTACTTTACTTTAGTATGAGTGTTTCTTTTCTTTTCCCTGGGATGAGGCCTTAAATAGAGGAAAAAGATCTTCGTATATATATTTAAAAATTATGTTGGATTTTTATTTCAAACACTAAATGTTAAATTTTATATTTTAATCTCTTAATGGTTGATGGGAATACATGTATTATAAGTTTGAATTAGTTGAATTTAATGAGTTTACTTGTGATATTTGAAGTTTAATTTGTTCAGTGATTGTCTTTAAAAGCATATCATGTTGACTTGGTATATGATTTTATCTTTTGTGAGCTTTTGACCCTGTAACATGATTATTTGATGAGTGTTATTAATTCTTATGTATTTACAGAACTTGCATAATATCATGTAGAGATTGTATTTATATTACATGTGCATATGAATATGATAAGGGCCTGTAAGAAATTAACCATTTGAACCTAAAAAGCTAACTTGAAGAAACCTAACCTCTGTTTATTGAGAAATTTATGGTTAGGAATTTTGAGAAAGGTAGTTATGTGATGGAGTTTTGTGTTGAATTTAAATGTGATCAGTTTCGAGTGAGTCAAGTATCAAGAAAAAAAAAGATAAAAAGTTAAAACATAATGATGATAGATGAAATAAAAGAAAATATTATCTTTGTGAGTTTAATGAAAACATACATGAGAATTTGAAATAAAAATAAACTAAATATTTATACTTTCATGATGATGAATTTGAGTGCTTTGATGATTATATATTGTTGAGTTTGTTATTAATATGCTCTATTTGATTCTTTGGTTATTAACATGTTATTTACCTTTATCTTACCTTACCTTACCTTACCTTACCTTACCTTATCTACAATCTCATTACAATTTTGAATAAAGACCCTTTGATTTATGTGTTGCATGCAATACCTAGTAGTGGAGATAATATTGAAGAGCAAGCATAAGAAAGATCTTAATATTGAATGAATTTAAATGAGAACACATAAGCCATACTTAAGTGTTAAAGTGTATGCTAATGAGAGGTCTTACTATTTTGGTATGACATGCATTTTATTTCAGTCTCAAAGGCTAAGGAAGGTTTTAAAGTTGCATTGAAAATAAAATTATGAATTTTTAGGTTTTAAACTCTTTTAATTCATTTATTACCTATAATGCTTGTACTCTTTCATGTTGTTAGGAGATTGGAAGTAAAATTGAATTCTTAGGTGGTCTTGACTTTCTTTTTCTAATTTGCTAGCTTTTATTTTGAGTGAATAGTTTTTCTTTGTTTTTGAGTTTCAAGTTTTATTTTTAAAATATATTGTCTTTGACTTTTTTTCCTTATTCAAGGACATGCAAGATCTAAATAAGAGAGAATTTCATACATTCATATTGTTCTATCTTTTTAGTATCTTATTCTTAGTTTTTATACATATTTTATGTTTTACAATAGCTTACTTATTTTGTTTTGTGTTTAACTATGCTATTGAGACATAAAATGTAGAAAAAAGCAAAATAAAATATTTTCCATAATTTCAAGCAAAGGATTAGAAAGAGCATATTGGGAGAAGTCATTAGAGCTAAGAAGTGTAAAGCCTAACTACATTATAAATCAATTGGAACAAGGAATCCTAGTGGGATCATGATTGGTCAAAACAAATCTACTAGAGTTAACCTGTATGTACTCTTTGAATCATATCTAAAGATATTTATGGAAGTTTGTTGCAATTCAAGTTGGGATAAAAAGTAGACACATCAAGTTTTCTAACCATATATGTTAGCCTAGTAATTTGTCTAAAAAGAGAAAATAACATGTTTGAAATCAAATTTGAAACCTACTAGCAAACTAGCACAAGTCCCATCAATATTTTCATGTTGGCATGATAATATAGTAGCTCATTAATGACATGGAAAGGGTGTTTAAAAAAAAAAGGATAAAATTCATAACATAGAAGAAATGGAATAAGAGATTTTATTATTTTTATAATTTTTTTTCTTTTCTAAATTTTTAACAAGCTTAGTTTTCAATTTTAACATGTTAGTACTCTTGGATTTTAAATTATCATAAAGATTTATGCTTAAAATTATTTTATATATGATTGTGATACATGCATATATTATATTTTTTATGATTATACTTGATGATTAATGACTAAAATTATATATAATGTACAACATATTTTTTAAAAAAAAACAAATATTACTAGTGATTAGTTTTTGAGATATTCTTTACTAATTAATTTAAGTAATGGAAGTATCTAATTTTCAAACCCATGTCTTTTTATTTGTTACTTGTAAAACTTAAGTCTTGATTAAATTAACTCCCTATACATTTTTAATTATCATAAATCAATTATACCAATCTTAATCTCAATGTTATAATCAATTATACCAATCTTAATCTCAATGTTATCATGTAATTA